GACTTGAATTCAATCTCAAAGACAGATTTAAAAAGTGTTCGAGTTGGAAATCAAGTGCACTGGCCTGCTTCTACTGGAAGTTTATATCTCCGTCCTCCAGGAAAAACTGTCCTTAAAGCACCCGTCCAAAAGGCATAATATAAGAACATTGTTTTTTTCACATAAAAGCTAGAGAGCATATCCCCAACACCGTCATCCATTTGACAAATACGCCCATATGCCATATGGAAATAACCATTTTTGTTTTTCAGTCTATGAATCTTTATTAAAATTTGTATCGTTTAGGCTAAAATTGCATCCAGAATATATACTGTATAATGATTTAGTATATTAATTGAGTATATTTTCTAAATCGAATTTGTTACATTTATGACTTTGGTATGGCCTTCTATTCATTCGTGTTAAGTTTTAGTTGACTGCAACTTTAATTGACCTATACGTCTCGAGCGCAGGCGACAAAAAAGAATGTTATGAATAGTATCCGACTTCTTTTTGAATTAATTGGTCGTAGAGCAGAACCTGAATCAATTCCAATGAAATTTTCCATTCGTACGTAGCAAAATGATTAACTAAAAACGAGGTTATACAATTACTTACTCGGCGATTAGATATGTTTGTCTGACATCATAAATTTACCAGTTATTTGACAACTGTTAAAGTTTTAAAAAAACGAAGCTAAAAGCGAACCTTGTAATAGGTTATACGGCTTCCAGCAAACTTATGCAAAAGACCGAAACAGAACTGACTTCAGTTTAGTTAGAATAGTTTTTTTTTCTGCATTGAAGATAATTATGATAAGCACTCAATAAACGAGTCTATTTTTTTTTCTGGGATTGTAGAAGCCATCGATTTGGAAATGTAATTAGCCTAGCATAGCTCAGGACATGAAGTCTGATAAAAACTTCGTTATTTAATTGAATTGTTATCAAGGAGTTGCACGCATTTACAGCTTCATTGTTTTGTCAATTAGCTTTATCTGTAACATCGATTAAGTTAAATGTATCCTTTAATAGTTGACCGGTATTAAAAAAAAAATTGTTTTTAATTTACCAATCAAGCCTGATAAGTTATTTGTTTGCAAATAGTTATAAACTGAATAATAAAAATGATAAAATAAATTTTATTACATTTACATTTTAAATGGATTACAATCAAAATTTGTGTCTAACGACCTCATGCTACCGAACGAATTCATGCATTCGTAAAGATTGTTGTTTGAGTGACTTTCCTCTCCCGAAATACCTGAGAATAATACTTAATGAAGATCCTAAGCTATGTTTAACTCGAGGTATGTAATGGATACAAATCTTATTATTTTATATGTTTTTATTATAATATAAGTGCAAAGACAGTGATGATATAAAGCACAACTAACAGCGACAAAACAAACATTACATTAAAAAAAGGAACAGTGTGATTATTCAGCGTAAAAAGGTGTTATCTTGACATTGAAACGATTAAATTCTCATAATAGAGTAAAGATTTTACTACAGTTAAATGCAAGCATTTCAAATGCTAAATTGATCAAGTTCAAGATAGAGTAAACCAGAAAACTCTTGAATGAAAATGGAGCATTCCATCCTTATCCTAAATTTGCAACGCTGCTATTCGTGGTCTTAGATGAATTTGAATTTATAGCAGTAGACTCGTTGTTTCATTGTTTTTGAGTATTCCAAATCCCATATTATGAATCTGGTATTACAGGAAATATTAAACAAAAGATTGGACAGTTTGCCATTTTGTTTTAGTTTTCAGTTGTTTTGATTTTCTTTGTCATCGTTGCTGAAGAATCACTTTCAAAGTTTCTTTTCTGTGAAATTTTTGCCATTTTTATTTTCTTTTTTCTGCTTTCCGTAGCCAATTTCATTTTTTGATAAACGTCCGATTCTTGAAATCGTCGATATGAATCTTTGTTCATCAAATCGTATATATGACTTTGAGCTTCGTGGAATATTGAACTATCTGGACTATCCAACTTTGCTTCAATGTTTTTGCGGATTTGGACATCGACGTTGACCTAGAATTAATAATTCACTGTTATGTATTGCTTGTTGATATCGAGTTTTTGGGTTCAAAAAACCGACCTGACATTGCTAATCAAGATTCATGTTTGGAACCTTCCGCTAGACGATGATAAAGTGTCCACAAAACCTGTCACGATAGGTATGTCAAGCTCAACAGAATATGATCGCTCAGATTGTGATTATTTCTAATTAAAATTCATTATGAGACTAGATATTCAGTAGCTGATATGCTTACCTCTCTCAGGGCATCAGTTGCCAGATATTTGGCAAAAATCTTTGTAGCTGTCTTAGTTTGTCGCGATAGTTTTTGGTATTTGTAAGCTTCACACTCCAACCAAAAGTCCAAATTTTCTTCACTGAATTCGGATTCGAGAAATGTTCGGAACGACCATGCAAATACTGAAATAAGTGAATCGTATTATATAAGATATATGCATGAATATATCATAAATGCGATAAGCTAAAGAATTCCGATGGAGTTTATTTACGGCCCATCATTTTCGACGTTACACTCAATCAGATCAAACTTTTGTATGATTGATGAAGATCTACTTACATTTAATTGAAAGAAAACTTCTTAAATTGTTCATTTCGCTAAGCTTGTCAAGATTTCTGTAAAAAAAAAAATTCAAACATTAGTATGTTTTTACACAAAAAGCTATAAAGTTTTCTGAATTGTTTTCAAGGTAATAAAGTTCTAACAAAATCAAATTACTGTAAATTATTGAATATGTATGAATATGTTGAACAATGTTCCTGTAATTCTGGGACGTTAGTTCTAATCATAATGTTTGTACCATTACTTGCAGTGATATACACCAAAGATTGTAAAGTTTTGTAAGGTTTTATCAATTTCTCAAAAAGTGATATAAAATACTCACAGGCCCTCTCCACTTGAGTATTTCTTTTCAAATGTTCTTGTTGGTGTATGAGGCAGACTATTTCGTCTCCATCTCCCTGAGTATCTTATAGCGTTGTCTGAACTTCTCATTTTGAAGCCAAGTACTTGTTTCGATAGCTGCCTGCAGAAGTTAGCCATGGTTAGTAAACTATTATTACTCTCAAACTTCGAACTTCATATATTTATAAGGTATATACATGTTTGATATCGGAAATTGGTAAAACAATGTCTGCAGGTTCTTGTATGATACAATAAACAATCCAATTTTAGCGTAAGGGAATTTCACGTAGAGTCATTGTAATATTATTTGCTTTTACTTGTAAAGCGCGCACACAATATATTCGGAAGTTTATTGATGACATTAGTATACGTTTTCCACAAAAACAAACACACATTTCATTGTGTCCGCACATCGTTACAACTTGCGTCGGAAGTTGATGACCGTTAAGTTTCAAATAGTATAAATAACATATATATAAATGCTTACGGTTCATCTTGACCGGAGTTTGTGATTTCGGCGAATTCTTCCCACAAGCGCTCAGCAGACAATAGGGAGATTTCGTCTTCTTTTTTTTGAACCGATTTCAAGTTTAATTTATCGTTTATTTTACAAGGGTGTGGCGAAAAAGTTGTTTTGGTTGGTTCTTCTGTTCTTCTCTTCGTCAAATTTTGAGATTTTGTGATAGCTTTTGTTTTTTGCACATTCGGTGAAGATACGACGTTGTTGTCCGAAATTAAACGTCCGCTTACGGATTTTCTCGCCCGTGGTTTTCTCCATAATCTAGACTTTGTTACTGCTGACAAAAATCCCTTTCCTTTGACTTTTTTTGATGCACACACACTGAGAGTAGAACCGAAGCGGCGTCGAGATTTGAGAAGTTCCATGACTGCCTCGCTTGCAACAGGAATGTAATTTTCATCCATGCGTTGATACTGGAATAGGAATAAGAATTTTTGAATTAGCAAATTTGTAGGATCGTCTCGATTATGATTATATATCACTTTTTACTGTTAAGCAAATTGTGAGGATTTTTAAAAACGAATAGATAAATATACCTTTGGAGAACATGATTCATCAATGTCAAATCTGTTGACGTTTCTATATTGAGCTGGCGGTGGGGTGGAGAACATTGTGTGTAAACCCATGTTTTTAGTTTCTTTTTCTTTCAATCCTGATATATTCTTATTCAGTCTTTCGTTCACAACGCTTGTTACTTCCTGATCCAATATTGGATATCTTTGAATAATATCGTTCGCACAATCACCACAAATACGGGAACAGCCTAAAATAATATTTCTAAATAAATTTGCTTCGAAACTCTAATCGTTGTTTGGATTTTGATTACAAAATGAATGACCTACATTCTAATTACGTTACTTATATACCACAGACGCTAAAATAAACAACTTTTTCGTTGAATTTGCTTAGAAACCTCACGGGTCGCGTTATCGGCGATTTGAAACGATTTCAGTGCCCCCTATTGTCATGCATTGAGGATAATTATGATAAGAACTGAATAAGCGCGTCGGTTTCGCTCTTCAAAGGGTTATAAGGTGTGACCGATATCATGAGGTAATTTAACATCTAGCATCTAACAAGATAAGGATTTTGCCGACGTTAATTGTAATGTTATCAGCTAAATTGAACGTTATTACAGCTTTATTGTTCTGTTAATTAGTACTACCGGATAAGTTCAAGCCATTTTCGTTGAATTAAAGGTACTGAAAATTAATGTCATTCCACGAAAGAAAATTGCAACAGTTTGGCAGATAAGACTGAATGTAATGTCTGGAACAGCTTATGTTAATTAAATAAAAATTTATCTTGATTTTTATAAATTGGCTGAATTATTAATCGTAAAATATAATTCATGACTCTAAATAGATCTTCACTCAAAACTTGGTTTGTTGACAGGCTCATTCGTACCAAAACATTTTGCATGTTACTGGGAAGTAAATAGTATAAACATTAATAAATGAGTCCATTTCCTATTTCTTAATTAGTCTTATCAAATTGTACAAATAACTAGAATAAAAATTGTATTTATTGTATTATATTTTGAGTTTATGTTGAATATGTGAGTGTACGAATTACAAGCGAAACAGAGTAATTATTATATTTTTGACGAAAACCTAATTTAACATTTTCGTTATTTTTGAGTTTCTACCACTTTGCATTGGGATAATCAGTTTAAAAAATTATTTTCATTTCATTTGTGCAAAAAACGAACATTTTATTTTGAATTCAAATGGATAGCATTCGCAGACATAAAAAGATTTATTTTTCAATTCAACTTGTTTCCAAAAAAACTTCAACGTATTTGGAAATGTTATCCAATCTTACCATGATTTTGTCTGCAGAACATCGACCTTTCTTCATACGAATCCTCGCGTATTCTCGAAGTTGAAATTTCATTCCATTTCACAGAAATGGCTAATCCTGAACTTCTCCGAGTATGAATTGCACGCACAAGATTATTCATTTTATCACTGGTGAGACTCTCTTTGCGTAACACCGCAACTGAAGGCCTTCTATTTCCGACTTCCGTAATTCCAGATATTGGTCTGTGGGAATTCCGACCCAAACGAAATGCGCCTGTCCTTCGAAGTTCTGCGCTTTTGATCAAATGAGCAGAATTTTCTCTTCTCGCTCGTACAAACGATTCTCCCCCCGCACTGACTGTCAAACGAAAAGAAAATGTTATTATCCGTTTAGAGAAACGGAATTCATAAATCGCAACAAATAATACCCTTCGGCCAGTATTTAATAATTCGATAAAATTAAATCTTTTTGTATAGGATGTAAAAACAATAGAATAACAATGCTTGGAACTAGGTTAGGAGAGCATTCAAAATCGATATAAATTATCTGATTGGCCAAGTTTATGCCGTAGATAAACGATAAATATATAAAATGTTCACCACGTCTTGAGTTGATGACGTCACTGGAATTGACGATTTTTGCTACTTTGGATATATCGGTTGTTGAAGTAACAGCGTTGCCAGGTTTTGTTTTCGTTGAACGTCTTCTTGCTATTTTTATAATACGGCCATTGTTGTTTGAAAACGCTAAAAATTAGAAAATAGACTGAAATTAGCGCTTTTAAATTGAGCATTTTCATAAATTTGTTCTAAACAATGCACGAAACTTTATTCAAATTGCAACCAGGAAAGGTAAGGGCTTTATCTATCTAACTAACTGTATAGCTAGTTACCCTTGTACAAACTCGGGTTATCTTTCTTGCGTAAGTAAGACCCGGCCCGCCCGACACGCTAATAAATTTTCAATTACTGCTCATTCCTCATTCTTGTCCCTTTCTAGCTATAAGATCAATTCAGTAAGGTCCAAGAGTCTTATAAAAGAACAGTTCTAACCAAGTACGCAACAGAAATTAAAACGGATTATAACATTGTAAAATAATTTGCAAAAGATGTTCACAACAATAACCAATCAAGTTATTAACGAATCTTTCTCTTGCGCGAGAAATAAATTATGCAGCATTACCTTCAGAAGTACGCCGGCAATGTGTTGGTCGGATCATTGGCACGTTCTCCACACTCTAAAAGATTATAAAATATTAAAATAATTTGTTGTATTATTAATAATACAGCCAGCAAATGGACTAACTAAAATCCAATAAAAACACTCAATTATAGAACAAACAAAAAAACATAATTTATACAAGACATGGGGTAATCGCTTTATGTGGTCACAAAAGGGAAGACGTCTTTATGGCGCCATGGTGGTTGAATCATTTTATCGAACGGATCAAGTAAGTATTATCAGCATTTTAACTTAACTTCAGAGCTAAAAAATTGACGTCTTTTGTCCAGTCATATTGCATACGTGCTTTCATAATATAATAGAATAAGATTACCTCTTGCATGGAAGTGCAAACTTCTCCTATTTGTTTGTCGTCCGATACAGGCAGTAAATGCATTTTCGCCCATCTAAAATATCATATTCGTAAACGATTACGAGTTGTGATAATAGTATAATTATTATAACAATTATACTGGTGGTATGTCCGAGGAGGTGATAATGTTGTTAATTGCCATTTCCGTATACCCCAAATATTTTAAGTGGTGCTTAATAATGAACCATGACGATACAAATTTTAGGACATTTTTAAGGTTTTGAACAGTATAAAAATTAAAATTTTACTACTATTAGCCTAATTCCCCTGGCTACCAAGTTTTTGCTATAGAATGCATCGATATTTTCAAAGACTTATTTATTTAATTAGTATTCGATTTCGCTACTCTGGCCGATATCCAACCATCGTTTCACGTATCCCTCTATTACCATTTTTGTAAAAACGAAGAACAGGCCTACACGCAATTGTAGTAAGTTCTGTTTAGTAAAAACAAACACTGTGCAAATCAATTGTATAAACATTTTTATCGGAAATTGCTGAAGCAGCATTTTCCACACAGCTTCAAATATAAGCCGCCAACTGTGATTGGTACTTTATTTCATGTGTGATTCTGGCTGTATATTCAATTATTATAAATTGCGTGTAAAATTACAATCGTATGACGATGTGTTTCGGGGTTTATTCAGACCTTACACCCTGAACAAATTATCCAAATATGAAATTAGGAGCATTTAAGAATGTTTAACTGAATTTCAACCCAAAGTTAACCTTACGAACAAAATAACGGCTGCAAACAATCTGCTCGAATTATTCGACGATTCTCGCTCTGATAAATAGGATTTCTAAATCAACGCCCACCCAAGTTTTTTTTATTCGCAAATGGCCGAAACTAATAGATATGTGGACACACCTTTCGTGATATGTAAGATACCATGACTTGTGCTACCATATTGAAGATCGGACTTGTTGATGCGAGTAATGTTACATAATAAGTGTGTTTCTCCTTACCTTGTTTGTGACCTGCATTTATTCTCTCGTCTGCATTTAGCACAATGCAATCTTGCAGGCTGAAAAATTGAATCAACTCGACCAGGTAATGTTGCCCTTGACTTTGATGCACGCACAAATGCTCTATCCAACGTTGCCATATTTGTAAATCATTAATTCTAAAGCAAAAAATAGGAATAAGTATATCAATTGTATCAGAAGTGATTGGAAGCCGAATCTGCGAATCGCTATAAATCTGAAATGTTAAAAAGGGTAGAACAGCATAACAAATTGATTCTACACATTTTAACCGTCCAACCTAAAAACTGAATGTTGATAATAAATAAAGCACAGCCGGTGTTAATATGAGTTTACCTGGTGGCAATCATGCGTTATCTAAAAACTGAATATCATAGTCTCACTATATAAAAATGATAGTGTTTTCCCCCGCTTTCAATAAAACTTACCTTTTTGTCACATTAAATTATGAAATTTATATTCTTATGTGTATCTACCGGTAGTATCATCTCAAGTATCAATGTTTCCCTAGGTCCAAAAGTGCCTTATTAAACAAGTGAAAAAGTACCAGTAGCAGACTCACCAAAATCGAACCTTGTAACTAGAAACAGAAATTTCACAATTTGGTTTTATACTCAACATTAGAAAAAAAGGTTAACGAATCAACGTGCTTATCGCGGCATGCGTTCAACAAATTCTTTTGTATTTAGCGGCACGAAGTTGGGAAAGTTCAACGGGCATATTTTTTAAATAATCTTGGCAAATTAGGGCCGAATAATTAGGGAGAAGCACGGTTGGTTACCTCGCATTGAAACAAAGAACCGCTTCAAAGTTTGTGTTAACTTCGTGGCAGATTGCAATAACAGATGAGCACACGCTCCAATTCTCTGACCGATGTTTTCAACCTCACAGCTGGACGCTGGGAGGGCTCCGTAATAGATTTTCAGATTCTGTGAAAAGTTATTGAAAGAGAATAATCAAAGAGATATCGGATCTATGAATCTCAAACTTTTGACATTGTTCTAATTCTGATGCATATACGCTCCAAATCACATAGCCTTTATCCACAAATTGAAGCTTCCCGTCCCTAATTTGCATTTCGCTATCAGATAACAATATGTCCTGGGAATGAGACTTCATGTTGCATGGCGTCACGGGTTAGTGGCATCAAATTTGGGCGCCATGCCATGCACTTCACCCAGAGTGGTGTAAATTTGGTAGGTCATGCTCGACCAGAAAATTTCGACCATTTCAAAAGTTATCTTCATGTAAATTATTTCAAGAATCAAATTATTGCAAATATTTTGATATAAATTGCAAAAAATTAGGTGATATATGAACAAGCTTTTACTCCAAAATTGAATATTCGCATACATTTAACCTTGCTGAGGAGATCTCCGTCTAAAAACCGTCTACTTTTTTATCAAGAAGAATTAGTAATAATAATTTTAGCAATAATAATTGCCATCATAATGATGAAAAAACGCTCCAAAATACCCGAAGAGTGCTGTTTAGAAATAATATTCAAAGGCCAAGGATTCACACAGAACGAAAATGAGAACAAAATCTGACTGAATAATTTGAATTATTTTATATTAAAATTCAGATCTATTATTTAATTAATACTATCATGTCCTTGCTCATCATTGTATTTGAATCGACAGAAAAAGAAACAATTTGATAATTATTCATACCACTTAAATCATGATGTGTAATGTATAGTTTTCTTTTTCCACTTATGTCCTCAATCTATTTTTATTCATTATCCTTAAATAGTAACCACATGACACAGATCTTAAAATTGGTAAATGTAGTCATAAGACGAGTTTATTGACATGAATCATCAAGTTTATTTTTGTTTAGTTTCCCTGCGGGGTAGGGACACTTTTTGTAGCTGGGATTCCCTGGGAATGCATCAGTGTCGTCAAAATCTATATATGTGTTACTTGCGCTTATTTAATGCAAAAACATTTGATTCTACTTTTTATTAAAAAGGGGGAACTTCACGCAATTTAATAATCCAATCCAGTTCAATAGATTCAAAGCTCACAGAGTTTTGAGTATACATCAAAGTTTCAAATAAATGTGTACGGTCCGCAATCAAGTTCGTTATCAGAATCTAGGTAGAGCACTATCTGAATCACCTGCAACAATTATTTTTTTTCCTTTCTCAGTTTTTCGTTTGGAAATGAAATGGAAGGAAATTTACTGTCCATAAATATGAAAGCGCCTTGATGTAAAAAGACAAGAGAATACGTGCACTACACTTTTCCGTTATGTCGATTTGTTTGGTCGGGATAGGCAAAAAATAAAACTGAGGTGGGCTTAGTAAAAAGGAATTCATGTACACGTGATTAAATTTGTTGATACCCGAATAACTAGAAAGCAGTATTAAACCATAGTCCTTCGGCTCTGAAACCGTATGGTTATTTAGAGAAATATGCTCAAGCAATTTCCATACTTTATGTAAACAATTCGCGTCGATGCTAAATTGCAATTCTTTGTTATGTTTGACCTATTCAAAACAAACTGTCGTTGGATGGATTTGCATAGTCAGTAAAATGAATTGCATATCACAGCACCAGATTGTGTGCGTTAGGCGCCGCGGCAGCAGCGATTCTCTTTCGACCGTCTTTACAACGTTTCGAATAATTCCCTGCAGCGTAATATTAGGTAATATCTATTCTGTACTTTCGGATGCAATTTGCATGTTTCGGTGCATTTCCTGGTATAAAATAAGTTCTGGTCGAATTATGAGTGTAGCCGAATATATTATGTTGCAGATGAAAAATTGGATGCCCCAAATCGATGATCGGCTATTAATTAAAATCTATTGACCTTATAGCTTTAATAAGTTGAATATACGTCTCTAGCATTTTGTCCAAACAGCCAAAACAGAGTACTTTCAGACTAATCTTTTATTCAAGTAACATAAAAATGAGTATAACCAATTTAATATTCGAAAAAGTATACAGTACATTCCACTTCAACCGTATATAGAAAAATATGCATTGTTTCAATTCAACTCATGACATGTCCAGTTGTTATTCATAAACCATGTCATTGTCAGTTGACGCAGTAATAATTACGTTTATTTCTAATTCTATATACATATATGAATAGTTCGCCATATATAGAAACGCCCGTATAGCGTTCATATTAAAAGTGTTAACGAAGCAATAAACGTCTTGTTTCGGATGCTATAATTGGGTAATCTCTTGAAGTCACATTTTAGTTGTTTGGATTCTTCTGATATATTAAAATTTCAATATTGTCTTGTTGAATATAACCGAGAATAAGCAATACTTTCATTCACATCACATGTTCTAATTCTTAATTAGGAGGAATCTGAACTCGAGTTATGGCGTTTCAGTTTCCACGATTCATCCATGCCAGAACAACATTTGGTGAATGCATTACTGAATTCTTGTATTTATGAAAATCGAGTATATTCAACTCATATTCAAGTGTAATCCGCCCACAGAGGAATCCTTTCAAATGTCGATTGAGATCATACAACCTATGCCAACCTGCCTAACCCCTAACGAGATAATATACACTACGTGACACGTAGTACTGATCGTTATTCTAATTGTTCCGCAAAACGTCGAAAGCAAAACAGACGATAATTATAGTTATTATTGGGATCATTATTTAAAGAAAATTGACATTGACCTAGTTGTTTCGAGTTGCATTTCGATTGATATATTTTGAAACTAAACACGTTTTTCTGACGTAACCTAATAATTGTATCTCTAAATTGTGTTTTTAAACATAGTATTGTTTCGGTACCGGAATGTTGTGCGAATACTTCGTGCAATCTGCTGATACAAAATATAAACAAAATACACGTATGTGTAGGGACCAAGGCAAGTTTTAGGTCGCATATACGGTAAACACTTTACTTTGCATTTGAGTCTGGTTAATAAGTTAGTCCGCGACGGACCCCATTTAAAAATACCTGGTCACGCCGCTGTGCAATAACATGTGGTATCTTGCAACTGTCTGCTTCTATTTTCTGGCAAGATATTTTTAATGTCAATTGTATTAAGCATTAATTTCTTTGAAACATCAATCATTAAATAGACTCTGAAATCGTACCAGACAGGCAATAAATATTAAATTAATTAAATAGTCAAATTCAACGACATGTAGCAACTAACTGAATGTTGTAAATTAGTCAGCCATTCGCTGGGTTGTTTTTATCATGAGTAATTGTTATTCGCCAACGGCAACCTTATTTATCTCTATTTTAACCGACATGCTGTCTTTTATATTTAAGCAGAAATTCTGAATCCTATAGAAGTTTAAACTTGATAAAGAACCTAATTTGGCAATTTTGTTTCGCTCAATACAAGTTGACACGCAAGAATAATTATTCTACGTAATATGCGCGATCCAACAGCAATGAAACTGGCCATGACAACATGTCCAGACGAAACGTTTTTTTGACAAATGACATCATTAAATATGAATAATAGTATAACGTTAAAACTTAGTGCAGTTCATCAGTCACACAGTCCATTCACAAAACGCATGCGTCTCGTACTGCCGTGTAACGATATATATATGTTTTTCTGTTTTGAATTGTTGACTTGTGCCACAATAGTTGACTTTAAAATTCAACGAAACGTCATATAAGCTTTTTTGTGTTAAATTTCATCTAAATGGTTGCAGCTATGTTGCTTACAACTATGATGATATAATGGAGTATATATTATTTATATTTATGTATTGAATTTAACCTTATATTTCAGTAATGCTGTCGAGTCAAAAATAGGTCGTCAAATATATTAGATATCAAATATATCGCTCATAGAAATAGAATATGAAACAAATCAAATTGATGATAATATTTTGCTTTATAAATTATTTATTTATAGCTTCCCAAATCTAGAGCATTTTAGATCAATATAAATGGCAAAGTGATCTCATGTACGACGGAACGGAAAGAACTCTTCAATCGAAGATGCCAAATGTAGGACCATTTCATAAATTGGCATATCCGATAAAGTGTACAAATATCCCAAATAATAATAATAAAATGCAATTAAACTGGCGCAAGAATTATTTATGTGTGTGTCCTTTTAGGTTTATGCTGTTGATGAGCGCCAGATGCTTCCAGTCACCTCTTTGCGTCGTTTTTTTTATTTGCCTTTGCTGTTGCCTTGGTTTATAGCTTAAGTCAAATAAATATAACGCAATTATATGATATGGTTGGTTAGATCAATTCGCTAGCTCACATAGTGTGACTATTATAGAGACCCTTGCCTTTGAAATTTTGAACCTTCTTCCAAATAGATTGCTATTTTCTAACTATGACAGTTTCATATTTCTGAATGGGCTACTTATGACCAGGCCAGGAATCTTCTTCAAAGTAAAGATTTTAGAGGACACTCAATAAAAAATATATTGGCAGTCAATATACCTTTGAGCGTGTGTTCGAGGGAGTGACATGGAGACATTTTGTGCCAGCGGATCAGCGGTAAACATAACATCATCCGATCTTTAAAAAATAGCTCTCGGTTATTAGTGACAGACATCGTAATCATGCCATGTTTCCATTTTCATACATACATATTCAAATCAATCAAAAGAACGTTTTTCCACGAAATACCGACATGAAATTCACCAAAGTGCGAGCCAAAATTTCAGAATGTCTTCCGTTGCAGTATTGCGGCTTTTCACAAGTGTATAATATATGATTGTTACATACTTATTTGAAGAGATAAAATGCTGCAGGTCTAACCTACTTTGTCAAGAAACTTGGCTCAATCAGACTCCCAAACAATTTGTAAGGACCATTAGCCTACGTACGTACAAGTTGCCAGATTTCACTTATGACAATAATAAGTGGTAAATTTTTGAAAGGCAGTATTAAACAAATATCTGATAAAATGTGCCGCGACAGACTAATTGAACAATATTAACATTTATAAACAATTCCTTTTTCAATATTTGCATAATAACAAAACATGAACCATTGCCACTTCTCAGTGGGATCGAAAATCGTGATTTTCAATGAAAAGTCACATTGACGCAGAAATTCTACATGTATTTTACAGTCGTTTTATCTCTAATCTCTCAATTTATTGTGTGATTTGATATTTATTGAGGGAAATAAAGATACATACAATTACATAGCCTTACCTCTCATACAGAAAGGGTCGAATCTACGATATCAGTATTTTTTTAAAAAAAAGTTGAATTATACATGAAAATATCATTTGAATACCCAATTTTTTTTGTTTGTAGAGGTTTTCCTCGCAGACAAACAATTATTTCCAGCATACAGCAATTAATTATTATAGGATACAGAAACTGACTCAGACGTTTACGTCTGGATTGCAATTTTCGTGTCGAACAGCTGATTCAGAACTTTCTGCGAAACATAGTTGGTGATTTTCTAGTTTCGACCTTCTAATTTTATCAAGTTCACAGCAACTCAGGATATATTAATTTTACAATTTTTCACATGATAGGGTATTCTACACGACATATGAATAACTCTAGGAATACAAGCCAGTATAAGTTCTCAAATTTTACTAAATCATCGATGGTAGTAACGAATGCCATTCAAATTTAAACAGGTAATAGGCATATCCTATTTGAAATTGTTTTATTGCCTCGATGCATTGATACAACGCCACGAAACGAGTCAAAAAATCGGCTCTAGAAATGACACATTTGCAGGCTCATCGCATATGATGAACGAAACCTATTCACAAGGTCGGTTGGTATTGGAATTTTCAAACATTCACGTTTACAATGTCCCTTTTCAATATACATTATAAAAAACCCAAGAAAAGTTTTGGTCACCAAAATTTACTTGTTGCGAACACCCATTGCAAATTTTTATCACATAATTTTCTCCTAGTAAGTCTTGCTCACCTATGTATGAACTGTCAACAAACTAAAGCGGAGTTCTGGATTATTGTTGTGTAATATTCTTGCTCGGAAGAGTAAGAATGACAAATAATTTTGTGACTAGAATATGAGTTTCATCTGAAACACTGATAACTTTCTGTTACTTCTAAGTTATATATAAGTTGTATTTTCTATAGGCAGAAAGTTTGTCCCTTGGTTACTGTCGCGGCTGTGACGAATTGACGGGCTATTGAATGGTATAATTGAAACAATCTTTGCATATGCCTACCGCTTGCAGTTACATTGGTCGCAGGAAAATCCCGGACCAATTACAATAAACTGTTGCCAGAGTTTGAGAAAATTAAAGATATTGATTTCACATTATTTTAATTCAAAATATATATTCAGATTTCCGGATTTATGATGTTTTTTAATTAGAATGCAGCGTTATTCATGGATTAACCTCTTTCACATAAATGTAGAGCTTTTCGAAATCGGTGACTGAAAATGTGGTGGTACCTAAATTCAGAGCAGGATTATCATAAATTAACAGTATAAGACAACTGTATTTGAATAATGAAACGTTTTGCGAAACGAAATTTGTTGTAGGATGTTCTCGTAGTCCATATTCATGTGAATTGATATTATAGAAACAAATATAATTCATTCATTTCCACTTGAGATAGTCCTGCTGTGACCGTTACCGGCATTACGTGGAAAAAACCGTATTTCTAGGCACACCGCGGTCTAAACCTATTTTAAATGATGCCAGAAGCATTTGTCTTTGTTCATAATTTACTATTGCAGGGGTGGCCAACACATTGATCGCGATCGACCAGTCAATCGCCACGTCTCGAGTAGTCGATCACGTCTGATGTTGAGTGAATTCAATAACATACTCTAAAAATTGCTAAAAAGATTTTAGTCGATCGCAGTCGAATGCAGGTTGGCCACCTCTGTACTATAGCCTCACAATCTCGTATATGCTTGGAAATGGATTACCTCAATATAGAAAAACTACTGGCACTCAATGGCGGTTCGGATTTACGTATTTAAAACGATTCCAAATACAATAATTTCTTTTGGTGGCGTTTTTGTTAGAGTTGATTACAATGCCCCTCTTTACAACAAAGCTACCGGCATTTCATAGAGAGTAACTTTAAGTCGAAGCGATGGGAGTTATTGGTGTGTTCATCCTTTGGAGTTGTGTGACCGGTCTGCTATCTGTACCACAAAGTAACTTGAAATGGAATTTCTTCATGAAATAAAGGCTAAATTACAACCCTCTATTAGTGCCATTCTCTCACAGTATATTATCTTTCATAACATTGAACAATCAGTGAAATCAGTATTAGACTACGCTTACGAAGAGGACGCTGAGATTATGCTGCTAGTCTGCGAATGTAGTTCAATTTATCACAAAACGAACAATGTAAGGGTTGTTTTATTTATATAAATAAGTTTTTGGAACGAAATTTAAATAAAATATCTGAAAATGGAGAAAATACAAAGTAAATAATATAATAAACAAAAATAAAGCAAAAAAGTTGCGATGATAATCGGCAGTGATATGTGTTAAATCGTCAAAAATATCAGTCGCTGGTAAAACGTCATGATGGTATTGTTACGTCATCGATCATGGGTCATATAACAAATAATTTCACACAGACCTCCCGATGCGATAAATGAGTTTCGAGTAATGCAAATGGAAATATTGATAACGTATAAACGCAATGTTGGACAAAAGCACGAATGACTATATGTGAGGTGAATAAGAAACAATTCTAGCAAGGATTTTCATGCTTGATTTCAAATAATAATTATTTTTAAAAAAATTTGAACTGGTCAATATAATATAACATATGAACTGAACAGTAATCGATCAATTTTGATGATTTCCGAAAACAACTTGCCGCTCTACGAGTTGTAAAAACAATGCAAATTGAGCACGGAATTTTTTGCTTGCGATAAATAATTTTTAGTCACTTTTATAAATGTGCGGTTTCGATTTTCATGTCGACGGACGAAAAGTTTTAAAACATGCAACCGTGCGAAATATTTGAGTTTTGATTTTCTGCAGCAATTTTGCATTTTTGAAAAATTGCAGGAATTCAAATTCGAATGAATCGAGTATGGTACAATATTATTTTCCTAAAGTGGTGCAATTTCACATAAATTTCAATTCCACGCACGACTGAGTAATGCGTCTTCTTTTTACACATAAATGGAAATTTTGATCCCATACTGAATTGTTTAGCATGACTGTTTGCGGGAGACAAAAATAATAATAAAACACAGTGGACAGCTATGCAAGAGAAATATATAAATAAAAATGTTAGAAGTGGCCAGATTTGGCAAAACACCTTGGCCTATACAATTCGATGAGGTTGCGAAAATTGCATTTAACGAAAGATGCAATTTTGCAAAATTGCTACTTCAGATTCCTGCCCGGTAGTCATTCAAAAGCAGTTTGGCAAGCATATTTAAAATAGTTTTGCTGACAGTTTTGATCATACCTCACTGACTCTTACACAAATACATGTGTATCAGCCTTTACTGCTTTGTCTTGCAGTTACTTCCGGCAACATACTTTCTCAGCAATGTTCTCGACCATGTCTCTGTCATGGTATTTAGTGGAAAGCGTCATTTAACGTGACGGTTTCTTCTTTTTTGATCCATTCATAAACCGATTTTTAGCGTATTCATACGATTTTCAAAGCCGTTTTTGTCGCTCGAAATAAGCGGCTGTAGCTTTGAAAATTTTTCCGAAGCGAGAAATCTACGGAATGAATCGCATTTCATTAAGCTGTAAATACAGTTTTGTGGTTCAACGAACGTTTCTTTATCCGGATTTTTCAGCCTCTCCTCTGTTCTAGCCCGAGTTTCAAAATCAATGTTGATCTAAATATAAAGGGAATTTAGTTAGGATAATTAAAATTTTTATCAAAAAGCATAAATTTGTGCAGATTATATATATATATTAGAATGTAATTATAATTCAGGCAAAAGAATCGATTTTGAATTAAAACCAATACCAGTCGCCAAATAACATTTTTAAACGTCAAATTAGAAAATTTAATTCATAAGTAATTTGTTTCATCGACGGCTGATATAAACTATAAATACACTGATGTATTTGAATACCACTTACGCATAATGACTTGTACTATTCGAAATTATATATATAACATAAAGGGAAATTATGCATTCAATTCAAATATACCATTTTACAATCTTTTTTTTACAAACTCTTAAGTGATAATCAGTGATTCGGGAAGTGTTCCCGAATTAAAAAAATAATTCATCATACCTCTCTTGGAGCAGATCTGGCGAGATATTGGGAAAAAATTTTAAACGCCATTTTCATTTGCTTTGATGACTTCATTGTTTTGTATGCTTCACAATCTAGCCAGAAATCTAAATTCTCCTCACTGTATTCTGATTTTAGGTAGTCACGGAAAGCCTGCATTGCAACTGAAAAAGTGAATATAAATATTTTAATACTTTTAAAATTAGAATTTGTTTGTGAATTGTCTTGTTGGTTGATACAATGCGGCTTACTGCTGGTTGTATACTCCCCCCTTTGTAGTGAACACTGGAAAATCAATATCCACTTGTGATATATGTTGAGTTAAATGATGTTTTTAGAAATAAGCCAAATACATTCAAATCGAAAATTATTATTATGAAGTGTATAAAAATTTCAAATCATACATACCTTTATTTTTCATCATTTCTTCTAAGGTCATATCAGCGGGTTTCGCATTTTCGTCCATTCTGGAAAGGAATTTATAATTTCAATTTAAAAAAGGGAATATGTATATAAATGAAGCATGAACATTGGCAAATTGCCTTCGCTTATTAGTAACATTTTTAATTGATCTGTTGCTGAAAATTAGCCTTACGTGTCGATTTATCTCACTAAAAAATGCTTACTACTGAAAAAATGCTTACTACTAAAAAATGCTTAACTAAATGCTTACATCGATCGTTTAGATTGGCGAAATGATCTTTTTGACATTGATCTTCTTCCACTTGTAAAAGAATTTCTTCTCAGTACAACATCACCAGTTTCATCTGAATCAGCTCTCTTTTCTCTATTGACTGACAATCTAAATAAAAAAATAAAGTTTAAAAATAATTGTAACATTAATAAAAACATTTCAATACAATTACAGTCACAACGCCTAATTTGACATAAATACATCAATAGGTTATTGGATTGATAAAAATCTTCAATGAGCTATAACTTACGTGTCATTCCGTGAGAAAGATCTCGATCTTCGCGACAACGTTGACGAAGGTCTTCCAGAAATGCTGGCACTCCTGTGTCCAAACGGGGAAGAGTCTCTGCTTTCTGGTGACTTCCTCTGGAACCAAGTCATAAGAGTTCCCCTGTATAATAAATGTTTCTTTATAAACACCCATATTATATGTACTATACATATAAATAGATTCATGTTCAATTGAATAGAAAAACAAAGGTACCGAAACAGCAGTCAAGTTCCCAATTTATGTAAATCGGAAAAGATATTTGGTCTTTGAATTGCAATATAATGGCATGAAAAGATATAATTCCATAAAAGATAGCAAGTTATAAATACTCACAATGCATTACTTTTCCTATTGACTTCTTCTGAATCGTCATTGGTATGATTTTTCGATGAATTATCTCTCAGGGAATAAATATCAGCTGATTTACATTCCATATTTCTTCTCGTGATATGAACATAACTTCCGGCTTCGTCTCCCAACTTTCTCGATCTCGGTAGTCGATTCAATGTCATTGAAGTAGGTGAGACATTTGCGGCCTCCATATGCATACGAGTTGATTCTTCATTCGCCGAATTTGAACGCTGTTTTCTTGGAGATTCTATTTCGATTGCGATTTCAGTTATTAAGTTTTTACTATCTTCATCACTAGACGATGAAATTTTCGTTTTGAAAAACTTATTCTTTCTCATTTTGCGGAAACGTTCCATTGCTGATTTTTCCCGTCGAATGCGATAACTTCGTTCCGAACACAAACTTTGGGATGAGCCAAATATTGGTTGAGATTTTGAAAAGAAATTTGCGGTATCTTGAGGAGTAATGAAAGGAATTTTCTGGCAACAGGGAGACGATTTCTCCAATAGAGGAATAAGATCAGCGGCGATGTCGTCAAATGAGGTTGATTTAATCTTGTTTGAAAAAGTTGCATCCATGAATGACTTCTGTAAACATAAAATGATAATCAGAATGATAAAGATATTTAAAATCCAATGAAACAATGAAATCGGACGGTCACAATTACATTTATCGCTTTTCACTTATCAAAATATTTCATTGAAAGGAATAGTATGCAATCCGTTTTTACTATATTTAGTTTTAATTTTAGAACAATCTGCCAAAAATATTGTGTATTACACATACCTCTGCATTTCCTCTGAATGGTTGTAGAAGAGCGATCAGGAACGATGGTCGTCTTCGTTTTTTGGGCATTGTGTCGTCACCATGGGGTGCACGTGACACATCGTTCAATGTTAAAAGTTCAACTTGGGTTTTGAGTGTATCCAAGTTATCAAGATGATCAAACTTTTCCAGCATGGTGTGTGTGGAATGAAGTATAGTCGGAGGAGGTGAAAAAACGGGAGCCATCTCGTTCGAATTTTTCTGAACTTTAAATAATTCAACAACTTCGTCTTCGTCAAATTCGGGTTCACTACAGTAACCTCGGTCCTCGTCGACCTTGGTAGATATTCTCTTCCACCTGCGCGTTTCGATATTATTGTTGTTTTCAGTTTCCAAGTCAGTGTTAGATAGGTTGAGATATTCTCTTTCGTCTTCAAAAAATCAATAAAACAAATAAATTGAGTTTTCAGCTAGAAATCTATATGGTAATAATGAGAGATACTGTTCCAATTGCGCAACGTTTTTTTGGCTTCCTTCCGGGTTAAGCTAAAAAAGACCAGCCACTTTTCCTTACTGCACGTACTAGTATTGGCAATTGAATCGGTTCAATATTTAAATATAGCAAGATCAAGGCGCTAATATTATTTTTTTTATTCCACCTAGTTATATTTGCATTGCGGTGTTACAGTAAATGTTATTTTGATGTATAAACGAATACAAATGAATGTAAACAATGAAAATTATCGAGTGAGACAGATAAATACCCCGATCAAAAGACAAATCGCGCGTGAATATAAGTTTTAGAAAGTGCGTCGTTAGTAATGGGCAGTTTTTTGGAATAGAATGCGTGTTCCATTTTCGCACACGTATCTTATCAATTAAAAACTTTCATTCCAGACTTATTGATGTTCAATTCAAAGTGGCAATTATATATTATATTATTAATTGTTATAATAACTAAAACAAGCAGTATTTGGAATGTGACGTAACGCAAGAATGCTTCATGATTCAGTAAATATAAGTAGTGGTCGTTGATTGACTCAAAACTTCCATATATTGTTATGTTTTATAACCATGGCCGATTCCAGAGGGGAAATTAATCTCACATACCTTATTATGAGAATTCGGTTTCACGTAACTACGGAAATAGGATGACGCCATACTTAACGCTCATAAAACCCGATCTAACCTCTGAAATTTTTTTATTGTGTGTCGATGTATGACGCGTCTATTAACTCCCATTTACCTTTAACGCGAGACCAAATATGTATGATGTTAATGTTTTAATACCCGTTATGATTTAACATATATTTTCATGTAAGTAATTCATTAATTCCCCGCAATAATTGTTTTGGTTAATGACGCGTACTAGTCTACGTCTGTCCGATCAATATAGGCTTGAAAATATAGCCGGACATCATTTAAATTGAAAACAAATTTCATGGACACTATGATGTTGGTTGCTAATTGATAAAATGATTATATCGACTGGGGATTTATTTGCATAATTTTCTGTCATCGAAAATACACTAGCAATAAAACTAATCCCAATATTTGACACATTTTTTCAATTTACAAAAAATGGAAAATTCTCATTCAAAAAATACAACGTACCATCTGTAGCGTTTGCTGCCTTTTGTGACTCCAAATAAGCCGCCATTCTTAGGTGTTGCTTTTTTGCTCGAACTCTTCCCGTTCTAGACAAGGTGAGTCCATGTTCCAACATTGCAGAATCAAATTCCAAAGTAGCGGGATCAACATACATCATGTCCGACTGAATTGCAGGCATATTATCGCTTTGACTCGATTCTTCTTTTCTTGGAATGCTCAGATATCCAGAAACATTACCAATAATTTTTTCTGTTTTGCAATTTACAGGTTCAAGTTGGGTAACAGTTTTCAACGTTTTTAAATCTGTGAAATTGAAAATAATTATTAGAGATTGTGCTCTTACTGCCAGCAAAGATGAAAAGCTGGCGTCAAAATTGCATATGAGTATATATGCGTCAATAGAGCGAAACATCACAATTGAATATTCTCAATCGAACAATTAATAGACATTATGTTCATTTCCGCCTATTATTCACCAAAACCAAGACAGAAACGTTGTAATTGAAAAAAACATCTTCAATCGGGTTGACACAAAATTAATCGTCAAACCGTTATGCTTTACAATATAATGAAAAATGTCATCTTGATATCTACAAACCCAGTTCATTCTATCATATTAGTTCTTCAGTTTAAAGAAATAACATATTAAATTCCTTTTTTTCTACCTTTGCAACTAATGTGTATATATCTAAAACCATGCAAATCACGGTATGCCATTTGGGATGTCTTTAACTGGTTCTTATTTCAATAAACTATACATGAATCGACATTTCATAATAGCCCTGTAATCAACCTTTCTTCGAAATATTTAGCATAATCGATTTCTTAAACGTGAAATTAAAGCATGCAACATGCTGTTTAATACTATCCTAATCTTTTCTGGTGAAAACTTTTTTGGTTAGATATTTAAAAAATATTCAACAGCATCGCTCCGAACAATACGCCGGCTCAATCTATGGGTCTGAATCTGAACCGATACTACAATTGAATAGCGTTTGCCCCCATCCTTACTCAACAATGCAGTGTTAAGTCAATACAATCGCATGCAATTGTGTCATTGCAGTACCGTGAATCGACTTGAATGTTGCAAATGTACCCTCGACCTTCCTCTTTTAGTTCTATACAATGAATGAGTTGCCTTTTTGATAAAAATAGCCAACGTATGTCAATTCAATCACTTCACGAAGCCTTCATCGCAACTAAAACAATACGAAGCCATTCGCTATATTTTGTGCGTCACCAAGACACGACACCGTCAACTATATGGTTTACACAATTTTCCGTTCAGGAAATTACTTTACTACCAAACATAGTCGACTCTACCTTTACAATAATCCCTAGCGGTCGTTTTATGGAAGCCTCGTGCATAAATTGAGTCCTATGTCGTTATTTAGCCTTAGGAGAAACCCATATCCAAATATTATTGTTATGAAAAGACTAATTTTAGATTACACCAGGGAGCACAGCAGATAATTTATCGTATTTTATCGCAACAGCAAACACCGCTAAGCCGCTTATATAATAAGGGAAAATTACCAGAACGCAACGCAACGATATTAAAAATTAAACGCGGAAATAACCCATTATGGTATATCATATTTTGCCAAACAGAACTATATTAAGCGTAAATTGGAGAGAGTTGTCTGATGTGGTTATCCCGCTGATTAAAATATTGGTAGTAAAGAAAAAAGCATACGGTGCTATAATTGTGTTTCTTGTCTAAAGCCTTTGTCGGAGCGTGGGCGTGAAACACAGTTTATTGCTATATAAACAATTCAGCATTCGTTTACCTCACAAGAGAATTCCTACTGATTATCTCCCAACAGAAAGCTCAAATCTGAAGTAGTTTTTTTTCTGGACCTAACTATCAAGAGCTCATCTGTGTAATAGCTTACTATATATATTTACACTGGCATCACCTATCTTAAGTACTAGCAGTATGTAATTAACATTGCGAAATTGTATACGTAATTGTTATTCTTAAGATTTCCTTTTTAAAAGTTTATCTGTCGCTAATCCATAAATTGCAATCACTTTTGGGCAAATCACAGTATTGATACAGTAATACCACAATACGGTACAATATCTGATACCCAAAATCAGAAACATGCAATCATTGCGAAATGAGTAACTTTTCCGATACTACCGGTTCACTTTTTTTCTAAATACAATTCCATATTGAACAAAACTAAAAAGATGTTTTTCACTATTTTTGATAATCTGATTAAAAACTACACTTATATTTTTTCGTTTCCTAAAAACTAATGCATGCTGGAAACTATGTTTCGTACATGCGTCCGACAGTCGAGCTTTCTTTCGTGTAAAAATATAAGCGCTTTGATTTCGAACACTCGAGAAATGCTAATTAAACTAATTTCCGATTGAAATGCCGGCGGCCGTTTTTCGGTTAATTTACTATAAATGTGCGCTGTATTTTTTCACAGAATAAGCCCGGGATCAATACGAGATATCTAATTAATCAATAGAAAAATCAAACGAATGATAGGCTGGTCTGATATATCACAATTCGTGTTAGCTATGATGTATTACGGGATCCGGGCTTGTCTAAAAATAGATCGACCTAAAGTCGAACTGGCGCGTATTCAAATACGAATTCGAAACGTGAAATGCGTACATACTGCACCCATACATTTTCAAAATTGTTAGGATTTTCCAAATATGTTTTGAATCGTTATTGGCTAGCGGGGGAAATACGGGGGACATTTCACATATTCCCAAAAGGGAACGTGTACGATAAACTCAATATTGGAACGCAATACAAGTATTTTTCTGGTCTATTTTATTTTTGTTACCAAACTGCTGCGAATCGAGTTCGTTTTTGCGTTCGAGCCTTCGCGGGTCAACTCGAGTCTTGCAATTTAAATATTCCCCTACAATATTTTTGTCATATATGGTCTGTACTCGAATGTTAGTGGATATACACGGGCATTATGGTTGATTATTCCAAAACAATAAACTCACTCACCCTGTGTTGACGTACTGCTGACGTCATCTTGACTGGAAATTGAAATTGGACGAAAATTGCTGGACGAAGATTGGCATTCGAGTTCATCGGAGTATAGAATTCGAAAGGTGCTGTTGTTACTTTCTGCTTGTTGGTCTCTAGGCTTGAGTTTCAGTTCGGATTGGCGTTTAGAAATTATTCTCGCTGATTTTGTACGGTGAGATCTGACAAAAGCGGGACCCATTACAAAATTTGGTGAATTTGACAGGTCTCTAGCGCCTCTTCGTTTGGGTGTCCGGCTCTGGTGTGATGGGCGGGAAACAGGGGCGATAGAATTTTCCCTCTTCCTGTTTCTCTCGTTTCTCCCAGTTTCTGAAAGATATCTACGTAAAGCTGGACTGTTTCTTGTACGAATCTCTTTCTTGCGACGTACAACGTTTACGTCTCGTTGTTGGCTCCTCACGTTTTCGTTTTCTTGGCCTAGAAATTTGACAAATAGATTTTTGACGTCACTATGAAAACCTGTTTGAATTTGAAGCCTTAATTTATCAAGTACGTCACATACCTGTCACTCTCCTGAGCGGTCTTTTTGTTTCTTTAGGTGAACCATCAAAATTGAAAAGATTCTGACGAAATAAAAGATTACCTCGTGAACTAGCGTCGTAATTAGGCTAATTATTCAATCCATTATTGCAAATTATATTTAAATGATATTAATTACTATAAATTTGTTATCTAACGATCATTATGCTTTCGTCCATGCTGGACCACAAAAACTACCCCAAAAGTATGTATCGGTCATTAGACATTACTTTGAAAATGCCTGTTTTATAGATATTATGATGACATTCGTACCTTGTAATAAGCATCAATAGCGTTGTCATTCGCTCTCGCATTGAGCTGATGTTCTGCCAGAGGCCGCAGTTTTGAACAGAGAGTTGATTTGCTTCTTGTCATATTGACGCCATGTCTGTGTTTTAAATCTCTTTTGTGAGCTTTCCTGATACCTTGATTTGTATCTAAAAATTAAATTGTGAAATTAAAAAACTAAGTTTATAAGAATGAGCATTAAACAACAAGCTGTAAATCAAATTGTAATGATTCGAAAAAGAGATATGTTACATACTATTTTCTGGCATCGTCCTTGCTGCCAAATGTTTTCTTCTACCTAGAATTTCACCCAGTAATTGATACCATCCATGTATAACCTGGGATAGGAAAAGATTACAACTTTATATGATTAACAAAACAAAATGTTATTGTGAGTATACTGGCAATACATTTATTACTTTAATATGTTGTAATAAAATAATATCATAGTGTCATTTTCTCTGACAATAGAAAAATAAATATTTCTTGACTTTTCACATTTCAAAAAGCAATTTGTCATCCTCAATTACAATTGTCGACTTATTCAGAAATGACTGACAGACTGAATGAAGATAGAGTGAACATACTTGAATAAAACGTGAATAAAGGACCATTACCTTCTGCTGAAATTTCAACTTTCTGACGCTGAAACTCATACAACCAATGAATTCGGAGTTCTCTCTGTGTTCGAATCGTTGCCATGCTGAAATCAGTAGTCGCCTACTTGTGGTTTCATTTGGTAGTTGACTATAAAAAGAAATTGAGAAATCAGTTTCAGGTCAAATTATTCAACTTTTGTTGCAAATTTTGAGTTGGGATCTTCCCAAATACACAGTAACATAAAATATCTTGATCCTAATATTAGTTGATACAAATATTCATATTCTTGGACTGTTTTTAGTGCGTAGCATATTGACACAGTATAGGTTAGTCAGAGACATAATACCACAAAAACGCAGAGAGCGCGACCCACGAAACCAAAATTCTGTTTACATAGATAGACTTGTCGTCTGAGCAAACACATTGAATAATTATTTTCTTCATATTTATCAAATCTCGATATCGTCTTAAAAGAAACTCGGCTATCACAAATATACTTACAAAGTAAAAGTCTCATGGAAATTTACAGTGTGTCCAGTGATCTCGTTTACGGTAGTTTTGTATCTCTCATTTTCGTATGCATCAGGAGACAGAGAAAGCTGTAAGAACAATGAATAAGAAATTCGGGACAATGAAAATTTCAGATTTGGAATACTTAAAATTATCAAAAGTTATGCTGATGAATTTACACTCACCCTTATATAAACCGATCTTCCTTGTCTGTTGGATATCGGCTCTAATCCTTTCAATTCCAAAACTGTAACCGTAAGACGGCGCTCGCTTCCACATATCACAAGTTTGAGTTGACCTAAATGCACATTACAAACATCTACATGAATATCGATCATTGTTATGAAATTGCAAATTAAATGTTTGCACAATGCGAACGAGGTATTTATACGGACATATTTTTTTTCTTCAAAAAGTACGGTTCCGGGGCTCAGACAAGTCTGAAACACCTGCTATTATAATGCAGTCCTATTCGACGGGCCACGGAAAACAGACGTATTTCGTGTAAGTCGTTTGTTTGATAACAATTGCCACTAATTAAAGCTAATTACGCTGAATTAGAAAACTTGCCACACGAACCAGCCGTTCATAGAAAAGTTACATTTTGTTAATTCCTTATGCATGTATCTATAGATGCGTGAGCAAATTACCACTTTGTTCGGAACACCGCTAAACTCAAACGCTAGCCAGTTTTCTAGCCTAGCGCATTTTTTCTTCTAATTTTCATGAGATGTTTTGTAGTCTCAGTATGTAACAGTTTACAGAAGTAACAGTCAAAATGTTTATCGCATTATTACTAGAGTAATATATCAGGAAACGACAATGAAACATCTGTACATAAATATCTTTAATTAAACAAAATTTTAACCTGGATACAAAATATGTAATTTTCATATTCTTACCTAGCATCATAACGTTCGAGGCCTTGTTACATTAGTTATTATAATTGCATTACATATTATGTATACATAATCATATATATAACTACAAAGATAACCACTTTCTGATACAAACAAAGAGAACAATTACATTTTTTTGTCAACTTTCCTCGTGTGGCGTTTATTGTACATGAAAATAGAGACTTATTACGAGACAATTTTTTATAAAAGTTTCAAATACTAAGTTAAGGTAAAATTTTAAACTTATGTTACTCTGTTACAACGAACTCTACCCAACAACAGTTGCCTCAAATAATAACAACATTGTTGAAACGACTCATTTGAAGTTACTTATGGAGTAGGCTCTTACTGAAGCTAAAGTGTATTACTGAAACACATGTGCCTAAGCAAGGGATGCGGCTCAGACACAAGTTTTATGTATGATCTTGAGTTGGCCTGACGACCTATGTCACTCTAAAACGAACAAGTAAAGGGTTGTACTTCTCGGCGACGTTTAAAACGGAAAGTACTCGAGGACGCTATTAAAGTAGCTGACGACGATGATAACAATTGTTTACTTTATGGATTTTCGAGATAGTCTCACGAACAGGCTCGAAGCAAATTCAACTCAGCCATAACCATAGGCTTTACGGCTACTTTAGTATTTCCTGCCCTTAAACATTATTTCAAATCTTTCCTGAACTCGTGAAACTGAACTCTGCACTGATAGCCGAAACCCGATATAATTTTTACCCAAACTGAGATAACATGGTAGAATATTCCCCTGGCTTATTGCGACAATGTCGGTTCAGCTCTGAGACAGTATAACTTGTGCAAGACACTCGTACGCCTAAAATGTTATTAATACAACGAAATGTTTATTGCCAACGTCAAAGTTCTAAATATATGTTCATAACTATAGAATTTTCCATCTAAAAATTTTGATTACGCATTAATAACGACACTGGATGGCGTTTACGGGACTAATTAAACTGTCGTAAATAACTAACTTTTCCCCTCTAACTGTGATAAAGTATTTAAACTATGTCATTAGGTAGCAAGCAACATTGCACAATATGTTAAATTAACCATGAATCCTTAAATCCTAACTATAACAATAACTTTTCCAGAATGGGATTAGGTAACCAGGTCTCTTCTCTACAGGGATGCATATTAATCTCCATTAATTCGCGTTGCTAATCGTCCACTCTTTATTTATTTAAATAAAATCAGTGTTTACATGCGGATATCTTAATAAGGTCGTCATGAACAATCACAGAACGACTTTGTTAATCGTCGCCTTCGCAGAATAACGACTTTATGTGATGTGTCACGTAAATAGTTCCTAGTTTATACATATTCAAGTCGAAATGTGGCAACCATTTATACGCAAAATATCAATCTATCAAGCATCATATTTGTACCGTGTAGTAAAGCGATTTGTTTCGCGGAAAACTTTAACCGATTTGACGGCATTGTTCAATCAAATGAAAACATACTAACTATTCACGTTGTTTGAAACATGAATCAGGTTCTTTCCTATCCACCTCAGTGCGTCATACATACAGTCTTGCTTTTCAACAACTAAGTTTTTAGTTAGCCTGTCGAACTCACTTTCCAGGAATAATTAATATAATATTTTAATTGCAATAATTTACGATCGCCGCAACACAGAATTTCGTAATCAAATTACTTTTTATTAAATAATATCTCATCAAACGGTTCCCTAATGAGTGGTTCGGATAAACGATCCATTAAGATGTCATTTGAGAAAGGATCGGAAAGACTCAGTTGAAACATTAGTGAAAATAAAAACTGATGGACTATCAAGCCCGGCCATTTATAAGTTATAATAACTATATGCTGGTTATTCATGGTAACACTGTGCTTGGGGAACACTGACAAAGAAAATATAAAAAAGACAGGTGACCTCTCTTACCTCGCTTTGAAAAAGTTCCTTCAGAGCGACAGCTGTCAGTCGGACTGTTTGAGCAATGTCCGGAATCGATTTGCTGCGTAACACGACTCGGGGGCGAAGGGTGGATTGACGTGTAAATGTGGTTTTCTGTACTTGAAGGGGAATCCGAAAAAACGTCATCGTCTTCAATTTTCAATCTAGAAAATTATATACATTTGTATGTAAAAATTGGTAATTTTACTCTTTTACCCAATAATTTAGATTTACTTTCGAATATACTTATGCAAAAATCTTCAAAAATCATAAAATATTCAGCCTACAAAAGTTTTTAGATTTGAAGTATTAGTTAAACATTGATGTACTATTTATTACCTTTGAAGTCTTTTTGACGCGATGCTCTTTCTTGCTAGTCGCTTACTGATCCTTGACGATTTTCTTGTTACGTATGATCCGGGCGAAGACGAAGTATTGGTTGACGACGAATAACTTCTGTTGTACAATAATCTACACCAAGCTAACGATTCGTTTTCTGATTGATTTTCCCCTTCCATAGTTGTTCTTAACGGTCCTACGTCACCTAAGATTGAATTTCTTTGAATTGATGCGCTGTCGGAATCCCGTATGTTTAAATACTGCAACGAGAGCGACGTCATTGCGTCGCCTGCGTCACTGGCGTTTCTCTCCCGCGACGCAAAACAATGGGACTCAGAATCAACTTCGACTGGTAGGGAGTTGTCTATTACCGAATTTGTAGACGGAGTCTGTGGGTCATCAACCGTAGTTCTCTCATGTAATTGAATTTGTCTTCGTATTCCTCGTCTGCTGAAGTCGTATAATTTGTTTATAACTTTACTCATATTGTTTATAAATAATACTAAAAATAGGAACATCGTTCGGTCTTACAAAAAGCATCTTTCATTGAGGTTTTCATATGAAATAGAATGAAAAATATATCATTACACATCCAGTCTCATCGGCTTAAACTTCTGAACAACACTGAAATGCGAGACACATGTTGTACTTTTCTTTATAAAAGCTTTCCAAAACTTTTAAATTAAAATCGTATTATAATATGGTAAGAGACATAATTGGAACGACATTCGTCGGACATCCACATTGCGTATCTGAAGCCCAAAACAAATAAAACAAAGTTATATTTTCTTTATGCAAGAGCGGTTATTATGAAAATCCCGTCGCGTCCGTCCCGACGACTGATGCATTCCTTTGTTCGTTCTAGCTCCTATTGTTCTCGATGTATCTCGCATGACTAGAAGACGTTCATATCGGAAACGGCAATTATGTTTATCTCTGAATTTAAAGGAGTTATTCAGACTAACAAAACAAAGCGGAAATGATTTTAAAATTCGACAAAGTGCCTGCGTATTACAATGTGAATGGCAAAAAAAAATATATCTTTTTTAAAAGTTTAACCCTGTCATAGACGTTGATTTGCTGGAACATATCTAAATAATTTGTGATCACTTTAGAACCAGAATTCATAGTTTACATCACACAATCTGGAAAATATTTGCATCATGAAGAAAAAGTCATATTATGGACATCAAAATTTGACGCCTGCAAAATTTGTTGTTTGAAATTCACTCCAGCTATACAACAATATTGAAATTTAAAGTGCTTCCACGGGGGAAAATATAAATTTCAGAAAAACATTGATTGGAAAATGTAAGATATTTTCGAATTTAACGCAAGGAGAAGAAGACTAATGATGGAGATGCTGTGTTGCTGGAACCTAGCTGATCTTAATACAGTGATACTCCACACTAAAAAATCGACCTATACAACACAAACTACGCAAATGAACAATTATTGCAAAGGTTTCGTGAAAATTCCATTACAAAACAAGCAGAAAAAAAAGGTAGTGGAAATAATCATATTCTAAAATACAATTTTGAAGAATGATTAAATTTTAATCGCTGTTTATCATTATGTTTTTATATTATGTATTTGCATAGGTGAACTAATATATATGTTAATTGAAAGAAAATCGGTGAGAATTTTGGCTTGCGTTCTTCACACCTATTTAAATTCTTTTTAATCCTATTTAAACCCGCTGCTAATCTGTTTAGTATTTTATTTTCTACTTTGTTTCAGACGATTTTATTGATTATTTGTTCAATGAACTGTAATACCCCGTAATGAATATATTACCAAATCTTACACCCTGTCAAAAATATAAATTCATATGCATAATTTCGTCGTTTTCATCTTAAAGAAAACAGGCCTTATGCTCATAGTATTAAATAGTCATATATAGTAATTTTCAGACTTGGTTTATTCGATACGTTGCATCCCAAATGGCATTCCCAGATGAAATTACTTGATTACGTCAGAACAACTTAAATTTATGTAAAGATGAAATTTTCAACAAGATTTCTTCCTAATGTGAGTTTGTTAACTACTGGAACCACTATAGTTTACCATGGAAACTTGAAAATTGCAATCATACTATGTAGAATAAAAATGTTTTTGAATGAGTGTTTTAGGCCCACGATTGACTACATGGAAACGAGGGGCAACACTGTTTAACCGAAATTGGTATTCTTGATAAAGAATGAATAAACCATAATGTATCATCACAAACTCAAGTACAAAATTATAGCAGATGGATGACTTTGTGGAGTACAACAGGATGTCATATTTATTATGACATGACAAACCCGATAAGACAGCTTATTCATGTAGAGAAACGCGTTCTTTCGTCCGGCTAACACTCCGGGGCAGAGTTGATTATCAGATAGATATACATTTGAATATCTGAAGTTGAGAAATACCACATAATATGCGATGTGGATTAAGTTCGAGTGGTTTATGAAATACGCACAATCATTGTCTGTGACCATACATAAAACGCAAAAGCACCAACACAGGATAAATGTGGATAGCCGCGGCAAACAGTTTATATTTTACTTTTTGATCATTCGGTTGGTCCCCAAGGGGAATAAAACTGTAATCAGCTGTTCTAAAATTTAGGTCAAACCATTTTATCGACAACACGAATCCATCAATCTACTTCCATGAAGCCTCCGCTCCGATCTTCTTGAAATTCGATCGTCTTTTTAGTTTCCGCATATTCTTTTGTTTCACTATCTTCCGTTTCCAGACTTCTCTTGTTCTAAACTTCCGCTATCTTCTAAAGTTGAGCGATCAATGCGGCAATTATTGTTTCCGACTATAAGAGACGAGACAGTGACCACGGGTTATGGCGGCAAGATTGCTCAAATTCAAACAACTAATGTAATTTTTCAGCGAAAACCGAAAATTTGGGCTCAGCCTATTTATCCAAATATAGTCTTTGTATGTCTAAACTATTTGAATTAATCACTTACATATCCATGAATTTACCAGGTGAACGTACTCGGCTAATTAACCGATATATTTAAAATGTATGATTGCGAGAATATTTTAGTTTGATTGTTCGCAGGCTGGAGATCTCGAATAGGTTATTTCAAAATTCTAACTCATTCAAAAGTTAAATTACAAGTTACATACGTTGATAAATTTCAGTAATAAGTATTATCAAGTTTGATGTTTCATATATTTTAGTGATTTATTTTACCATTGATCTGGCTCAGAAAAAAGTAATTAACTGACTGATTGTACGTTGGCAAACCTTTAGTGTTAACCAAACCTGAAATAAGATCAAGAAGGAAACAAATAAACAATTCGAATTTCAGACAAATTCACATTCAATCAATAATAATTTGAAAGTTATTCTATTTCTAAATGTGATGCGTCAAATAGCATTTGTATAATGCAAGCTAATTCAAACAAAATCGATGAGAATTCAGGTGTGTACACTTCACACCAATTAAATCAGATTTTAATTCCATTTGGAAATATTTTTAATCCGTTTACACATTTATCTTCTATTTGGTTTTCGAGTAAAGTAAACAGAATATTCTTGCTGTAGAATAACCAGATATTTTTGTTCGGTACGTTTATACGTTAGTTGGCACTGTGTTTAGGAAAGAAGTTATTAGTGCGAATACAGTTTGAATTTGTCGCCACTAGATGGCAGTGACCACAAGTTGCATATAAGATTGGTGAGTCCAAAACGTACTGGGTGGAGAAGTCGACCAGGTTTCAAGTGAATATGTAATCACGTATCCTTATCACTATTTAACAATTTTGTGCAGCACGTCAAATTTTATTGTTGTTTCATTAATCGTTGAATTGAACATGATATTTCAGTTTCTGGACATGTATGTATTCAAATAATCCTTCAGGAGTTAGTCGAGTTTTGACTCTTTTTGTATTTATTTATTTTATTTATTTATTTTTTTTATGGGGAGGGGGGGGGGAGTACATTCATTATTTTTTTTTCGTTCTGTATTTGATTTGATTTTTTTTTTCAGATTTTTAGATATTTATATCTGTCTCACATATCCGATGTCATTTTGATCTGTTTTTACACAAAGTAGCTCGCATGAGTTTTTAATTACCGACCAATTAAGGTTCAATCAATCAACCTCTTCCCAGGTCACTAAGAACAAAACACGGAAAAGATTTTCTTTGTTACGGTCAAGTCAAAGCGATATCGAGGTGGATATAATGACAAAAAGTAACTCGACAAACTGTATTCGTTCTTATCGGTTTTGACCACCAACAACCATGCTGTATTATGAAAGACAAAAAAAGTACAACTAAAAGCACTTGTTAGAATTTGACACTATTTCACAGGGTAATCAGTTGTTTATTTGAAACGTGAAGATGAAGATTCTCAGAAAGGTACTTCACGTTAGTTTATTTTCAAACCAGGCCGAATACGCTGTTATTATACCGCGCATTATTTCTGAATTTATTCTGAGGTTAATAGAATTGTATTGTTTGAAACGTAAAAGCCAGAAGATGCAGAGTATTTCAATAAAAACATCGTGATTGAAGAAAAATGTTTTTACTTCATTTTTATATTTTTGACCTTTTTTTTATTATTCGCGTAAAGGACCATTAAAATGGTGAATATGGTATGACAGTCATCATTCGCAAGGTACACAGAACATTGATTAGCAAAGAATATTTCTATTTGAACTTGTTATGAGAAATGCAATTCGCCCATTCAGTAAAATCAAATTTTTATATACTTATCATATCTCATGCAAAACGATTAATTTCAAGTTCAAAGCAGTGAGATTCATAAAATTCAAGTTGAATGGGCCGCTCTGGAGGCTTACATTCTAAACTGTAACGCAAGAAGGTTACTCAATCTTAAAACAAAGTAACAAGAACTTATAATTAGGGTAGTATCTTTATTATGTATAGTAACTGCTACAAGATTTCAGAAGTAAATATATATAGTGTCCTTCATTATTGTCTCACGTGAAGACATTCTGCAAGCACCCATGGTTACGACAAGTCGCGGTATTTATTATTTGCAGATTGGCTGTATTCCAAAAGCCTGTATAGTAATCAGAAATTTTTACATTACGTTTTCACAGCTTCTCGTAGTTCTTGATTCTTTGTTTTAACGATGATAAATACAAAATATAGTTTTCTGATTGCTCTGATGTTCATGGCAATACAGTTCTTTCTACAAGTCTGTGCGATGCCGCTTCGGAGACCCCCATCTGGATGTAAGTGTTTTGATATTTATTAACAGAATGTTATAACTGCAATACCCATCATTATTTTAATTTGATTGCCCGGTGATAGACCCTTTACTAATTTCCTGGCACAACGTGTTCGGTTATTTCAGCCCGTATCATGTGCAAAGCATGAATATCAATAATTTGATGTCCTCGTGGAGGCCGCTATGTCTCGTTTGGAGGCATTCATATGATAAGCAAACTAGTATGTAAGAATATACATGTATTTTATTTTTGTCTAACTTGTGTGAGCAATATAAAATTAAACAAGGAGT